ATGAGACTCATTTGACACTTGGTGTATTTATAGGCTACAACAGAGATGTAACGCCCCACTTTTATATGCCGAAATTCAGAATAAATTTTTCTGAATTTATTTCAAAACACTTAAGGCGCTACTCTTTTTCAAAAACAATTTCAACAATATCACATATTCAATTTCCAACGAGTTCAATAATCATAAATTGTCAACACCCAAACCGGGTTCATAAATGACATCAACTCCCAAAATTGGTTTCAACAAATCCATAAATACTAGGAAAATACACTCCCTATCGATAATCCAGTATTCAACATACGTCAGGAATGCATAATTCATAATAAGCAATTTAAACAACGGAAATAATCAATAATAATATGACCACCACTCGCCTCCTTCTGTCGTGCCCGCACTTACTAACCTGCATCAATGAAGAGCAGGTGGGGATGAGCACAATAGGAAATCGAGGTGCTCACCACTATGCAATAAACATTTACAAATCAAACGGTAACAGAGAAAGTACGATCACAGCATGTATATGAATCAATTTAAGTATCCCAAGTTTCATCGTAAATTCACAGTGTTTAGACTCATGTGCACATCTATACCAATAGACTACTGCCGGTAGATGTATCGAAGGCCCTCGCTCGGGTCATACTTCGAATGCCCCATGGGCTCTACATCTATGCCCTCCGGTCCTACACATCGAATCGCCCCACGGGCTTCCATCGATGGTCGGTCAGTAGGAGTAACCCCTCAGGTTTATTTTCATAAATAAAGGACAACCGTTCGACGGCCGGTACAGCTCACATCGAAGGCTACATGATTCGTAAGCACACATTGATCATACTCAAGTAAAGTAAACCATTTATTGCATAGACAATTTTTAAATAAAACCCACCTGGATGTTGCAAGATGTATAGCCAAACACAGAGTTGAAGGAACTATGGCACAAGTTCAGCTCGAAGGACCTACAACAATTATAAGGACCTATCACTGACTGCCCAGTACAAAACAACACATAAGGCACATATACTTAGCCGAAATCATATCAACCAAGTGACTCGTGGATTCCTTAACCGAGTTAAGACACTATGGAGTTATTACCAGACCTGGACATGACTCAAATTCATCAAATAATACACATAAGTCAGGCCAACATCAACAAAATCCAATCCTAACCTAAACAACCGATAACCGAAGATTAAGATTCCAAAATAAACAAAATTCGGAATCAGGAGTTAGGCTCAGCCAATCAACCTGAAACTTCACCACATTATAATGCATATAAAAACACATAAACTCACCAAGTTTCAGCCCTAAATTCATCCAGGAACATTTTTAAATGATTTAAGCAAACACAGCACCAAAATCAGCATTTGATAGTTCACATAGCTACACTTCGAATTTTAATCTGACATTTTAACACCACCTAAAACATCACAGAATAACATGTTCCTGAAATTTTCAACTCAAAAATCCAAGTGTACGATTTTTAATGGATTTTACAAGTTTTTGCTCAGAAACCGTTTTAAGCCTTTGAACTCGAAAATCTCAAAAGTAAATTCAGGGGCTTGGCACACACATTGTACATACTCAGAGGCATAACATATCAAAGATTCAGCTCAAACGGATAACGACTCGATTTATGGTGAATTTATTACGATTCAGCAGCATGTTCGGTTTAGAAAAATCATAACTCTCAAAATACAACTCGAAACGACTTCAACCAAAACTAACAGATCAAGGACATCTCCAAGTATCTATAACTCCAGGATTTCCACGAAACGAACCACATATGTTCAGTTCGACAATTATTCAAAGTGACAGCAATCACTTTGATATCTAATTCGCGAATATAAAATAAAATTCATACAATTACTCAACTAAGACACGAATTTAAATTTACGAAGCACGTTTAACCCCCATTTCACATAATCGAGCACATAAAATAATATAGGATTAAACGAGACGGGTCGAGCCTTGTACCGTTCTCGAGAATCGTTCAAAAAAAAAAGGGAACGGAGGGATCAAACGGACACGTGGCTCGATCGTGCTTTTGACTGTGCTCTATTTGTTTTCCTTGGTCCCAAAATTCACTTGTAGCCCAAATGTTTCAAGGTCCAATCCTTCATTAGGCCTAAATTCTCCAAAGCCCAAAGCAAAATGCTAAGGCCCAAACCCCTTTTTTCCATTTTCTTTTATTTTTCCTTTTCTCTTTCCTCTTTCTCTTTCTCTCCTTTCCCTTCTTTCCCGTCATTTCCTTCTCCCCCATTTATCCTCTCATTCTCTCTTTAATTCATTCCATCTTTCCAAATTTTTTATCAACTTCAGCACCAATTACACAATTCCACCGATTAAACACCTCGATCTCCCCTCTGAGGGACGGCTGATGGCGGATCGACGGTTGAAGGCGGCGGGGATGGCGGTTCGTACGGGCTTGCGATATTGGACAGAGGTCCGGTGCTTTGATGTTCGAGTAGCTCGTGTGGCGGCGTTGCGACGGTGATGACAGGGTGATTATCGGCGGCGCTGCAGTGGTTGGGGTCCGACGAACAGCGGGTCGGTGGTGTAGGTCCTGCGGGTTTCACGACTGATGAAGGCGGAGCTGCACCACTTGTTCGCTCGGTCGAAGGTGAGGGTGAGGGATGGCGATGTGGCGTCGCTGCGATGGTCTTCCTGGAAGACTACAGCGGGAGGGCTGGGTGTGTTTGGCGGTGTTCGAATTTGGCCGAGAATGGCCCGACTTTTATCATCGAAGGCCGGGATTGCTGTGCTCAAGGGCGGGGCGTGCTCGACAAGGTGACCGGCGCACTGTGATGTTCTGGTCGCTACGGACAGAGTTGCCGGAAGAGGAAGGTTCTGCCGGATGTAATGGTGGACGGATCTGCCGGTGCTCAACGGATCTTCTTGCGACGGAAAAATGAATGGCGGATTGCTGGACACCGCGTGGGGGTCGCCGAAAGCTGGCCTTCTCGGATATCGACCGGGATGCCAGAAAAGATGGCGAATTCCGGCGACGGAATTTATAAAGATT